AAAATGGAATCCTCTCGTCCTGTAGGTTCCGTTTTTGCAAACGGATTTTCAATCCGATACTCGAAAAATTTTCACCAAGCAGTATGCAAGATCACGGTATAGATTGAAACCGTGACCGAGAGGAGACACTCGGACTCGGCCTGGTCGCGGACCCGGGGTGGTGGTGGGTGAGGAAAGGAAGGATGCGGCACTACCTAGGAGTCCGGTTATGGTGAGAGAAAAAGGGAAACTGATTTCAATCAATCTGATCTACTATTTCTTTCCAGATTAAACTCTCACACTTCCAAAAACAGATTTGGAAATTCTTCTTCCTCCTCTCTACACCGGCAACAAGCACAGGCCGATCTATTCACGGGCAAACCAGAAACTCAAGCAAATCCTAAATGCAACTCCAAAACTGACCGATAAAAAATTCTGAAAACTACAAAAACAGAACCGTGGCAGCGAGCCGATTCCGTTTTCGTAGGTCCCGACAACAACAGAGACACGGTGGCAGCGACAACTGTGGTACAAAACGTGACCAGAACTCGAAACTCTAAATGAACTAGACGCTAAGACCAGCAACACGACGTGACGATGCAACACAAAATTCAACAAAGCAAAAACTGAAAAGAACAATGCAATAGCACAATATGGCTAGGTAAATGATACGAATTTTTTTGTATGTCTATTTTCTGGTTATAGGAAGATAAAAACTCACCGAGCAACGAAAGCTCTGATACCACCTGATGAACCCTGAGTTCCTCTCGACACTCAAGGCTGTTGTTGGCCCGATCTTTCGGTGAGTTGTGATAACTACGATTTGGGAGAAACGTTGACGATCCGACTACAACTGTACGAGACGTTGTGTTGCGCCTTAGCGATCGATACACCTCTCCGTGGGTTGTTGATCTTGCCGGTGCAGATCAACCCTATTCCTGCAAGCAAATCGAAGAAACAAGCAAGAACAAGATAAAAAGCAATCTGATATTGCAAATAGGAATTTAATACAAATGATAAGTTGGGGTTCCGAAGAACAAGCAGACGGACGGTCTAGCCGACACGCGCGCTGCAAGCAAGTAGCAATGGCTAAACTTTAATCTAACAAAACCCCCCAGAAACCCTGAAGGGGTAACTAGCTATATATAGGGGTGGGAGGACGACCTAGGGGTGCCTAGGGTCGTGCTCCACCAGCTTGGGGCGCACCCCACATGGGCCCCACCTGGGCCGGGGTCCCAAATGAAGTTACAAGCCCATAGGCCCATTACAGGTGTCGCAGCACCTTGTTTCTTCAGTTGCTGCCGACTGAGATGGAATTTGGCAATGAGGTTTGATGCATTGGAAAGAGGACTCCGAGAGCTTTCCATCAAGTACTCACGGGCCGAAAACGGAGGTCGTATGGAGCTTCGGCGGCCGTTTGAAGTTAGCAGTGTAGCAGGTGGCCGAATTGGATTTTGGCACTTGGAGGACTCGAACTTGATATCTTGTTGTTCATCCATGATGTGAGCAACGGATGTATCCGTAGTAGCCATGGTCACATCAAAGATTTAATAGGATCGAGTGAAAATGAATAGTAAAGTTGAGATACTCGTGACCTGGCCACACCCCGGGATGCAGGAGCACAATTAATCATGGTGCAGAGTTTGGCCATTGGAGCTCCTATAGGCTATAGCAAGGCTTAAATAATACTTACTCAAATTTCTTCTTTAAATTAGAACTCTAAAAGAACAAATCAAGGAGGAAGATGATAGATGTAGGAGTAAGACCATGGTAGTATAGGGTCCGATTTTCGGTGGTTGATGATGAAATCAATCAATACTGGTTGTATAGGGTCCCATGATTTTGATGTGGTTTAGATTGACTGAGAGAGACAAGGAGGGATGAGGCATCAGTGGAAGAAGACAAAGTTTTTTTTATAAATAATTTCTCTTGTGGGCTCCACGAGGATGTTAAACTCTCAACCTATTTTGTAGGACCCCATCTCTTATCATGATTCACACCATACCGGTATTACAGTAGTTTTTTTTAAGTTATTACAGTGAAGTTTATTTGTTGTCCTCAAAATTCGCTCAATGTCCATTTTTCATAATGATCCGTAGACCAATTATTTTTCACTCTAAACTTTTAAAACCAGATACTACATCATATCCTAAAATATGTTCCAAGGTGGCTTTGATCAATATGACCGTGTTTTTCCGCTAACATGCATGAACTCAGTTACTTAAGTTTTATAAGTTGTGAACCTACCTACGTGATACCTAGGGGTGAAAACGGTAACGGTAATTACCGGTCGACCGGCGTTCGTTTTCGACTTTCTACCGGCCGAGCCATATGGAAATGGTAATCGACCGAAACAAAAATAGAAATGGTAAAAAAATATGGAAATGAAAACGGAAATGGTTTTGCTGTTATACCGATGGTTTCCGTATTTACCGTATTCTTGTAGAAATTACTGTTTCTTATAATGTGGTAATTACCGTATTCTAAATATGTCGATATTTATAGGGCATGTCTATACTTGACCCAAAACTTACAGATTGATTGACTCTTCAATCAAATCTCTAAATTTTATACATGGCTAAAATGAAGTTAATTTATAATTTATATAGTGTAAGCTTGAATTTATGTATACATATAACATACTTATGTAAAGTTAAATATATATTTTTATAGTTTAATATTTTCGTATTTGTTACCGGTTTCCGATCTGTACCGACATGTTTCCGTCTGTATTGTTCCGTTTCCGGTTTTCCGATATTTCCGATATCGTTTTCGAGAAAAATATGGTTACGGAAATGGTTGAGGCTGTTTTTCGATCGTTTCCGACCATTTTCATCCCTAGTGATACCTATATCGGTAAAATATGCTAATAGCATTATGTACTAAGAATACCACCTTTATTCCGAACATAACAACTGAAAACATGTTTAGATTTTCTTTTCTAGGTTTGAAAGTTGATGGCGAAAAATAACCGGTTTTGTATAGTTCGCAGTGAAAAATTAAGCTTGAGCAGAGCTCAATGCGAAAAAAGAAAAAGTATTTTCACTTCGCTATTACTTCCTCCATCCAAAAGTCTTATGCATATTTTATTTTCTGATTGTTCTAAATAAGATGATTATATTTGTAGTCTTTGTACATCTAAGACTATAAGAATAAGTTATCTTTCGTTTTATAGTGTTAGATTAAATTATTGACAGGAACCAAAAAATCATCTTAATATCTATTGGTCGCATGCATATGTGCAATCCTTAGTCTATAAAATGCAGGATAAAATAATTTCTTCTTAATCTTAATGATAAAAGAAATACGCCTGAATCTTTTGGATGGAGGGAGTATTTTGGAATAACACATGAGGACATTTCTAATTTAATGCATCAACTTGGTAGATGGATGCAATTTGGTGCAAGAACTTGACAAATGAGCATTCTAATACAACAACTTGGTAGCTAAGTGCAATTTAGTACAACAACTTTATAAGTGATCACATAAATGCAACAACTTGCAAGATATGTACGATTTTGATACAACAAGTTAAAGAAATTATGCGACAACTTAATTATTTGGAGCACTTTTTTATACATATTCAACTTTTAAGTACTTATTTGACAGTATACTAGCATGGATTTTTATATAAGCATATTTATATTTTTATCCTAATAACTAATAACTGTAAGTTAATTAAACTAAATATAGAAATTATTATATTTCGATTGAGATTTGGGAAGGTGAAGAAAACAAAAATTCTTAAAGGTAATTAGATGTGCAGTATAATTCTTAAAGATTAAATTTAATATTATAAGGTAATATTCGTAGGATTGCTATATAATGACATATTGACATCATGAAAAAAAACTCACCTAGCATATGCTTAGCTAAGTTGATGCACCAAAATACTAAATTGTTAAATTCTTGTACTAGAACACACCCACCTGTCAAGTTGTTGTACTTGAACGTTCAATTCTCAAGTTCTTATACTATATCGCACCCACCCGCCAAGTTATTGTACCGTGGATGCAATTTACTCTTAATCTAAATACAGATTCGGCCAAAGCAGGAGTAAAAGAAATTCACATATTTCTCGATAGATTACCACGATCGACTAGCCGCAACGTGGAGCAAACCAAATGCAAATTGTGCAATGCATATGGACGCATATGCATGCCAAGCAGGAGTAGGCCGGAGAGTGTCGGCTTGTTCTTAACTCCTCACAAATGGGTGTATGTTGGTACGAGCCGTTCGAAGGTCACTTTCAGAACGAACCACCATTCGACACGCCTGGAGACAATAGTAGGTACGCGATCAATGTTGTATTTTTTTTCCTAACAAGTGCGTGTATATCTTTTGGTCCCAAATACTTCCTCCATTTTATATTATAAAACTTTCTAGCATTACCTACATTTATATTTATATATATATATATATATATATATATATATATATATATATATATATATATATATATATATATATATATATATATATATATATATATGCGTCTAGATTCATTAACATCTTTATAAATATGGGCATTTCTAGAAAGTTTTATAATCTGAAACGGATGTAGTTATTATTATTATTTTGTTTATAGTACATGGTAGCGCATCACGCATCCCGAATAAAAAATCTACTCACGGGTACTCCCTCCGTCCCATAATAAGCGCAGTTGTAGGTTTTAGTGTCCAACATTAACCATTCGTCTTATTTGAAATATTTTTGTGATTAATATTTTTATTGTTATTAGATGATAAAAAATGAATAGTACTTTATGTTTAACTTAACTTTTAAAATTTTTTCATAAATTTTTCAAATAAGACGGACGGTTTATTTGAAATATTTTTGTGATTAGTATTTTTATTGTTATTAGATGATAAAATATGAATAGTACTTTATGTTTGACTTAACTTTTAAATTTTTTTTATAAATTTTTCAAATAAGACGGACGGTCAAACATTAGGCACGGGAAGTCAGGAACTTATAGCTGTACTTATAATGGGACGGAAAGAGTATATAAAAACCTATAATAGATAAAGTAAATATTGTATTTGTATCTCAGTGGAGAGTTTATTATAGAACCACGCTCGATCGTCATCGTTGCGCAATTTTATTTAGCACTGTCTTTTTCTTTCCGAACACATCCTCTCACATATGAAGATGATAGTTACTCGAAAGATTTTATATGATACTTCCTTCGTTTTTTTAATATATGAAGCCGTTGAATTTTTCAGAAACGTAAGAGAACAAACATTCAAACAACCCATAAAGACGAGTAACCAGCACTAACTGAAGATGATAGGTACTACCACTCATACTTCCAATCCAAGGATCATCTTCAGTGGATCATTGTGCAGCTAGCGTACGTCTACTCCGCAGAACGCCTTGAGCGGTTCGCTGAATCTGCCGCCCTCCTCCGAGTGGCGGAACTGGACGTACTCGTCCTCGTTGCACGGCCTGTACGCCAGCGGGTGGTCGCCGTCGACGAGCTCGTCCATGGCGCTCACCACGGTGCCGCCCTTGCACCGCGTGGTGAACAGCGCCACGAGCCGCTCGCGGTGGCTCGGCGTCCTCACGCGGTGCACGCACGCGGGCACCCGCCCGTTCGTCACCACCTGAAGTTCAGAAGGTGGCAAGTGATCGATCGATCATCAGGGAGCTACTCCCTCCGTTTAAGGTTACAGGACGTTTTTGACTTGGATAAAAGTCAAACTGTTTTAAGTTTAATTAAGTTGATAGACAAATATAGTAATATTTATAATACTAAATTAGTTTCATCAAATCAATAATTGAATATATTTTCATAATAAATCTGTCCTGAGTTGAAATAATTTTTTTTTGCAAACTTAGTTAAATTTAAAGCAGTTTAATTTTGACCAAAGTCAAAATGTCTTATAACTTAAGACGGAGGGAATAGCTAGCTAGGTTAATGAAATCTGTCGCCGGTGAAATAGCTAGCTCCATCGATCACCGGCGACGGCGCCGACGTACGGCGAGGATGGTTATTGTGCTTACCGTGAACAGCTCACCGGCCATGAAGGCGACCGTGTCCGGCTCAGGGGGGATCGTGTGCCAGCTGCCGTCGCTGGCCTGCACCTCGAGGCCCTCCACCTCGTGCTGCACGATGATGGTGATCACGGTGTCGTCCCGGTGCTCCCCCATGGACATGGCGCTCGCGGCGTCCGGCGGCGGGCCGTAGCGGGACAAGCGGACGGCGTCGTCGTGCGCGTCGAGGTGCGAGGCGATGTGGTCCTCCCCGACGCCGAGGCCCTCCAGGGTCATCCTCTCCACCGCCCGCTCGAGCTCCGTCATCTTCTTGGCGAACGACACGATCGTGTCACTGGACGAACACCTAAGGGTGAGAAGAAAAACCCGAGCTCCGCGCAAGATGAGGGACGACGACGGCGAACAGTGACTGCTTAGCTCTTACCAGAACTCGGGGTTGCCATCAGGCCAGAGGAGGCCGGCGAACTCCGGGACGCGGCCGGCGTCGGCGGCGGCGCCGACGTGGAGGCTCTCCCAGTTCATCCCGGGGGTGTTGGTGATGTAGCCCCTGTAAGGCCCCACCGTGGAGACGTTCCGCCGCTTGGCCTCCGCCGGGAGCGCGAACAGCTCGCGCGCGGCGCGGGAGAAGAGCGCCTCCCGGAGCTCCGGCCCGAGCGCGCCGTGCGCGACCACGACGCAGCCGTGCGACACCATGGACGCGGTCACCGCGGCCCGGGCCGCCTCCCACCCCGGCGTCCCCGGCTCGAGCCCTCGCAGGTCCACCTTGGGGATCGCCATTGCGCGCGACGGGCGGGGTGCTGCTGCTCCGGCTCGTCTCGGCTTCGCCCGGAGCTTCGTGGCTTTTCTTGCTCTTTGAGTGGCAGGGCTAGTAGCAGATTAAGCAGCAGTTATATAAAAAGACAAAGGATGGGGCTGTGGGTTCCTGTGGCATAATGTCAGCTTGTTAGAGGCGCAGCCCGGTCCATTAACCATGGGTCATCCAGGTCATATCGGACCTGCTCTATCGCAAGCTTAATTGGAACCACAACTTTAGATCATGGGTCTACACAATGTAAAAAACTAGCAACGTAAAAGACAAGTATGATGGGTTAGGACCAACCCCATCTTTTAAGTCGTGTTCACCTGTGACCCATGAAAATTGTTCAGGGTTCCATTGGATACACTCCATTACAGGCTCAACCGGAGCCACAACTTTAGGTTATGGGTTTACACAATCAAAAAAACTAGTCTGAAGGGTAATGGCTGCTTGCATCTTTTAAGTCATGCTTCCCCATCATCAATTACTGATGTGGGACAAAACCAGCACTGCTAGTGCAACGTGTTTTTATCTAAGCTATACCGAAATAAAAATTGTTGCATCCATCTTAAAATAACAAAAATTTCCACTCACATACTGAGAGAAGATCTTAGTCTCTAAGTTTTTAAAAATGAAAAGATTAGTAGTTGGTACACATACATAGACCACGACTTATCAGAGAAAACAACAGTGGAAATCGTTAGTAGTAGGAGCCAAATGACGTGCTCACCAATAGTCAACGAGGGCCACGATCTAAGATAGACCAGCTCTCCGATCTTCCTACTAGCATACTAAAATACTAGCAAGATATTCTCATCTGCCTTATTATAAATTCTGCTAAAAAAAATTGAGCAACCACGAGTACAAAAATGCTAGGCAAGCCACCACGCAAAATGCTCATTTGCATACAGGTTTCATGGATGGCTTGGTTTGATTTGTGCAAAACAAGTTTTCACAATCATTTTCACGATTTCTATAACCTGACATTTTAACTAAAACAAAGGTATGCTCAATTGTTTAATCATACACTGAGGGTCACGTCCACCCTTCCCCAATCCTCGCTTGGGTCGGCGTGCTTTTAGAACCAATTTCACAATCTCAGCCATTCCAATGTACCCGTTCCACGGGTAACATTCACATATGCTGACATTTCCACCATATATATACATTAGTTTTCAAAATTATAAGACTAATAAAGAGTAGTACAAGTCCAGCTGCTCTTTTAACCGTGAGTATGGCTATTTGAATAGATTAGTTTACTTCCAACGTAGTGGATGCATGGTTTTCTCATACTCTGTGACTTGCTTAACATATAAGTCTAATCTCAACACATCAGACATGTCACGGGATGGTTTTGAAGGCTCTTTGTAGGGAAGCGGTATACATTCTATGGACTATGCACCCCCATGTACCGGCGTCTCACAACAGCAGTGAGGGGAGTCCCGGGTTTTTGAGATTTTCAAAGGCAAAGAGATAACATGGGCCCCACATGTCAGCCTTAGGAAGAGGGAGCTGGAGGAGAGTAGTGAGGCGTGGCGCTCGTCGGTCGTCGCCCGCCACCCGCCGCTCGCCCCGTCATCGGGGCCCGTGGGGGCGGGGCGCCAATCTGGCCACTGTAAAGAGATGGGGGGAGAGAGTGGAGAGGGGGAAAAGGGGAAGAAGAAGCTAGGGTTTCACTGACATATGGGGCTCACGTGGGTCCCTCAACTGCCACGTCAGATAAAACCAGGATCAACCAGAGTCAATACTGTCTAAATAACTGGAGTAATCTAATTTGTAAGTTGAGGGATGCCATATATTTGATTTTGTCAGTTTAGCAATAATTTTGTAATTCGGTGACAAGATGAGGTACCTCAGATGTATTTTTTCCTCCCAATTTCCACGTAGGCCCAAGTATATATGTAGGTGAAGGCAACCCATTGGCCCAATAAGAAAGCAACCGAGCAGGCCAGAAGTCCGTATGAGAACGGACATCGATTCATTCCTTTTGGCTGCCTTGATCGCCCGTTCGTCGTTCCGCCTACGGCCTACCCTGATCGTGGCGCCAGAACTCCATATGCATTATCTCGTCTAAGCGTAAAACAGATTATGAATTCTAATTGATTCGATTGGCCTAATGGCATTCTCAATACCTTGAACACTTCGAAATCACCAATATCAAAAAAAAGTATAAATTCGTTATCATTTTATTTCATCAACTAAGTTTAGTACTAAACTTATCAAGATTTCGCATAGGGTCCCTTAATTTCACGGGAGGGCCCTGATTATTACCACAAAATCATATAATCATACGTTCTTCCATGATCCATCCATTCAAACCTAATATCAAATCGCGCATTAGAAACCTCCGATAGAAATCACGTTCTTTTGTGAGGAAAAAGAAAAACAGAGGTCAAATTTACATTGCCACTTCGCCAGTACACCTCACATCACACGCAAGATTAATCTTAATGTATTGAAAGAAAATCACTCGAATAATTTCATCTCATAAGCTAAGTTCAGAATCAACTTGAAGACGATTGATTATAAATACTCCCTCCATCTCAAAATATAGCAAATTTATACTAATAAGATATGTCACATCCAGTATACGTGTCCTATCCAGTATAAAGTTGCTATATTTTAGGACGGACGGACTAATTAACTGTCACAATTATTCGAACGCTATCATTACATCTGTGCGATATCATTCTGTAGCGTTTACTCCGCAGAACGCCTTGAGTGGGTCGCTGAATTTGCGGCCTTCCTCCGAGTAGCGGAACTGGATGAACTCCTCCGCCTTGCACGGCCTGTACGCCAGCGGGTGCTCGCCGTCGACGAGCTCGTCCATGGCGCTCAGCACCGCGCCGTCCTTGCTCCGGCTGCCGACCAGCACGCAGTACCGCTCCCGCCCGCTCGGCGTCCTCACGCGGTGCACGCTCGCCGGCACCCGCCCGTTCGTCACCACCTGCGCCATGAGAGAGAGAGAGAGAGAGATCGATCAAGAATTCAAGATCAACGTGTCGCCGACGGCGAATTGCGTTGCGTTTGGCGCGTACCCTGAACAGCTCGCCGGCGACGATGGCGATGGTGTCGGGCTCGGGGGGGATGGCGTGCCAGCTCCCGTCGCCGGCCTGCACCTCGAGGCCCTCCACCTCGTGCTGCACGATGATGGTGGTCATGCTGTCGTCGCGGTGCGCCTGCAGGGAGATGGCGGTCGACGCGTCCGGCGGCGGGCCGTAGTGGGACAGCCGGACGCCGTAGTCCTGCGCGGCGAGGTGCGAGGCGATGTGGTCCTCCCCGACGCCGAGGCCCTCCAGGGTCATCCTCTCCACCGTCCGCTCCAGATCCCTCATCTTCGTGGCGAACGACACGATCGTCTCACTGCAATCCCCCGGACGAACACCCCCCCAATCCCCCATGAGAAATCGAGCTCTGACTCTGAGGAGCAAGAACATGGCTGGCGAACATGGCGGCGAGGCCGCGAAGAGGCAGCTGGCCTTACCAGAACTCCGGGTTGCCCTCCGGCCAGAGGAGGCCGGCGAACTCGCGGACGCGGGCGGCGTCGTCGGCGTCGTGGACGCGGAGGCTCTCCCAGTCCATCCCGGGGATGTTGGCGATGTACCCCCTGTAAGGCCCCACCGTGGACACGTTCCGCCGCTTGGCCTCGGCGGGGAGCGCGAACGCCTCCCGCACGGCGCGGCCGAACAGCGCCTCCCGGAGATCCGCCCCGAGCTCGCCGTGCGCGACCACGACGCAGCCGTGCGACACCATGGACGCGGTCACCGTGGCCCGGGCCGCCTCCCACCCCGGCGTCCCCGGCTCGAGCCCGCGTAGGTCCACCTTGGGGATCGCCATCGCCATGGGCTGCCGCTGCTGCTCCTCGCCGTCGCCGGAGTTCGTGGCTTTTCTTGCTCTGTGACTGACAGGGGCAGGTAGCAGTAGTACTACTAGTAGACAGCTGGTTAAAAAGTCAAAGGATGCGGTGAGCTGAGCTGTTCATGGCGTGGCGCCCACTGGTTTTATAATTTTATATTTTCAACATGAGAAATGGGATTATGGGAATCATATGCTTCTGGTCTCGTTCTTTCGCTCGTGCTTAGGACAACAGCAATGTATATGACAAAAGTAGTACATAAAGATAGGACTCACATATATGAACTTTAACTATTATAACCTTCATAATGTATATGAATAGCAAATAGTATTGGTAGGAGAGAAGAGATAGAGACAAATAATATATTTTATTTTCTATGGGCATCCCATATACTTATGGGTAGCTTTTGTTATTTCTTTCCTATGGACTAGTTCCACAATGTTGCTAGGTGGCTGAATCTGGACCACTTTTAGAATACTTTTGGAGTAGTTATAAACTACTCCCGCCGTTCCAAAAAGTTCCAAAAAGAGAGGATTTCTAGCATCCCAAGATAATTTTAGTGGGAAGTAGAAATAACCAAAATGACCCTTATTAATGAAAAAAGTAGTAATGGTGATAGGTAGGTGATGAGTATTTAAGGAATAAAACTTCTCGTTTTACGTGCTGAAGGGAGGCAGGATGATAGAAGTTGGTTTTTTGTGGGACAAAATTCAAACTATAGAAATTAAGTTTTTTTTGGGACGGAGAGAGTAAAATTTAATATTTTTTGTTTGTTCATCTTAGGCTGTGTTCTTCCTGGTGGCTTCCCAACTCACCTTGCTCGTTTTATGTGCACACATTTTCAAACTACTAAATAGTGTGTTTTTTATAAAAAAAAATTAATTTAAAAAATTATATTAATCTATTTTTAAAACAAATTTAGTAAATACTTAATTAATCATAAAAAAATGCTCTGCTCCATTTTGCGTGTGCGGGAGGTGAGTTTAGTTTATAACATTTGTTTTTAGTAGTTAATAACACGTACATAAAAGTTTTACTCATAAAAATATTTTATTTGCTAATAAATTATTCGAATAAGCATATAAATAAACAATGGGATGTTTCATGTTAGATTTGTAGAAGTCAGTGAGGTTAGTGCTGTACTGAGTACTAACTGGCTCAATTATACGCAGCATTATGTAGGGGGATTATATTAAAAGACTATAATTCAGATTATGTCGGGTGTAAGGTTGATAGAAAAAACACAACCGGGACTTGTCAATTCCTTGGACGGTCCCTTGTTTCTTGGTCCTCTAAGAAGCAAAATTCCATTGCCTTATCCACCGCCGAAGCCGAATATGTTGCCGCCGGTTCTTGTTGTGCCCAACTCCTTTGGATGAAACAAACCCTAAAAGATTTTGGCTACAACTTCACCAAGATTCCACTCCTATGTGACAATGAGAGTGCCATCAAAATAGCCAACAATCCCGTTCAACACTCAAGAACCAAGCACATAGACATTCGTCACCACTTCTTGAGAGATCATGAGACTAAAGGAGACATATGCCTTACCCATGTGAGAACCGAGAGCCAATTAGCCGACATTTTCACCAAGCCTCTAGATGAGAAAAGATTTTGCGAGCTTATGAGTGAGCTCAATATCTTAGACTCTCGTAACATTAGGTGATAGGTGGTTGGCTAATTCATAGCCAAACATGTATCACTATAATGTAAATTAAAAAAAATGAGCTTTTGTGTCTTGATATCACTTCTTGTGTAGAAGATGGTCTTGATACTAGGAATAAAGCTCAAACATTCCCCCTTATATCCAAAAAAAAAACCTTTTGTGAAATTTTTTGCGAAATTTCTTGTGTGTCTTTCTTGCGAAAATTTGGTTTTTATCCCCTTCTTGTGATGTATATTGACCATTGTTATGTAATGTTGATTGTTGACTGGTCATATGCATCATAAGTCTCTGCATGTCCATAGTTCCCTAATTCCCCTCGTTGAATTCTCGTCTCTACATTGTTTTTGGGCCTAACTGCCCTTTATCTGTCAGGCCGGAAGTTCCGGGCCTCTCTGTCCGGAACCTCCGGGTGTCGGGGAGTATATATTCTCAGGGGGAGTTAGAAACTCTAGTCTCTTTCCTCATTTCTTCTCCCTCCCCGACGCCAGCCCTAGTCGTCGCTACAGTGCCCCAAGTGGCGATTTTCACTTTCCACCAATTAAATTCGTTTCTTCTCCGTGGATTCATCCACATTGGTGGCTGGGAGCTTCTTTCCGTGATCGATTCGCAGTTTCTTCTCTCAAGGTAGCACTTTTTGATTCCCTCTCTTGGTTCATTGTGTTTTTATCCCGATCTCTAAATCTGTGAATCTAGGGAGAAAACCACTTGGATAGTCTTGTTTCTGCTGCCTTGTAGATCACTGATCTATAGGATTTGTTCACATGCACTGGCTATTTTTGAGACCTCTGTTCTTCATTTTTGCTAGACGGAAGTTCCGGTGTTCTTGCACCCGGAACCTCCGGGCGCTGTCCAGCCAGCCTGCCATTCTTGCTTCTCTCAATTTTGCCTAACTACTGTACTCCAATTTATTGATTCCTGTTGCAGTAAGCACTATGACTCGTGAGAAAAGACAGAAAGCCTCTCAGGATGTGTCCGGTGATGAGAGTCCTCCTATTCGGTTTCCTCGTGGTCGTTTGGGTAAAGAGAAAGTGGTTGAGGGCGGCGGTGGCAGTGGCACTCGTACTTCTCCCAGGTTCACCAGGCAATCCAACAACCGTCCTGTTCAGATTTGGGATGTTGACAGTGGTCAAGGAAGTGATGCTCCTAATACAAGAGGTCGTGGGAGAGGTGGTGGTCACAGTTCTGGGGCTGGAAGGGCCTCTCATGATTTCCCTGTAGGATCTCGTGAGAATCCCGTTCGGCTCTACAAGTCTCTTGGATTTGACACCACTCCTATGCACCACATTGGAAGACCCAAGTCCAACTACCTTCATCAGCTTGCCAAGTGCAGAAGGGACCGTTTGATTGATCCAGAGATACAGCCTGAGGAGTCACAGGATCCTCGTTTCAGGACTTTCACTCAATTGGATTGGTATAACTCAGTGATTATGGCTAGAGAAAATCCAGTGGTTGAGATGAAGTGGATTGATTGGGTTTACATGAGGAAGAAGAACAATGAAGTGTTCAACCAAGCGATGCAAGTGTGCCACAACAAGAATCTTGGAGATATTCTTGCCTTGGAGTATGATTGGAATGAGGAGGTCATTGCACAGTTCTATGCGACAGCATTCTTTGGTACTACTAGGAAGGGAACCCCTTATGTGAAGTGGTTGACTGAGGGTGTTAGGCACAAGATTTCCATGGCACAGTTTGCTGAGATATTGGGCTTAGAGGATGAGGATCTCAATAGGCCTAATATTCATAGTGAAGCACTCTTCCCCATGATCAAGACCAAGTTCATGTATGCTAAGGATGCTCCTAGGACTTGTATGGGAACTACTCATGGTTTGCATCCAAATTACAAGATGTTGTACTCCATCTTTCGTTGGTCTTTGCTTCCAAAGGTTGGAGATGCCACAGCTTTGCCATCCAAGCATGCTCATCTTCTCAGTCGCATGCGCTATCATCAGCCTCCCTTCAGTGTGATGAAGTTGATTTGGTATGAGATAGCTAACACCATTCTTGAGCCTAAGCGGGGTTGCATCTATGCTCCTTTCATTATGAAGATGATTGAGTCAGTCACCGGGGTGTTCTACATCAAAGATGGGCGCCACAATCCTTTTCACCCTCGTGCTCCACTTGCCTCTTCTCTAGTGGTACCTAGATCCATTCCTTCTACCTCAGCTGGTCCATCTTCTAGTGCCCCACTGAGTTCCTCAAGTTCTTCTCCCATCAAGAAGACACTTCAGGCAATTTTCTGTTTGTGTGCTAAGACTGCTAAGAAAGTGAAGAAGATCGAACGGCGTCAGAAGGAAGATAGAAGAGAGGCTGGGAAAGAAGTGTCAGATGATTCTGAAGATGAGGTCTATGTTGATCCATTTGAGGCTTATGAGGCAGCCCGCAACGTTGCCGGTGAAGGTCCATCCTCCTACTTCAATGAAAAGTCTTCCCATTCAGATGATGATGATGATGATGATGATGATGATGATGATGATGATGAGGGTGACACCGAGGCAGCTGCTGAGGATGCTCCCACTGATGTTGATGAGGGTGACACCACTGCATAGTCCGATGAGTCTCATCTCTCCGGCGATACTGAGATTGTTCCCTCATATGGCGATGAGTGATCCTCTTCTTCTCTTCATGGTTTCTTGCTTTTTGGTGCCTTGATGCCATAGGGGGAGAATTTGTGCTTTGAAGGGGGTCATTTAAATCTTTTTTGCTGCCTTGACTGTTGTCTGGTCATTTGGCCGGAAGTTCCGGGTCCTGTGATCCGGAGGTTCCGGCCAGGCTGATTTCCTCTCTATTATTCCTCTCTTATGGACATGTAATCGTATTCTATTATGGTTGGATGTAATGACCGTTAGATGCTTTATTATCCTTTATGTCAGTAAGTTAGACCATATGAATGTTGCATTTTGATGTGATGTTGTTGACAGAAAACACGAGGCCTGGGAGATCTGCTTAACTCCAGTGCAGATCCAAAACTCGCCTTCGGTTGTATGAGCGTGCCAGTTGATTTGATCCTGCCATCAACAAGAAATAAAGACAAAGAAACCGCGATTAATCCTATAAATGATAGCCGATCGGCTAGGTGCCGATGACATATCATTTATTTTTAGGCCGATGTCATGTGTACATCGATCGGCAATCATGAATAAGTAAGGAAGAACTAAATCTATTCGATCGGCTGTAGATATTAACAATATATAACCCTTATGTCGATATATACTTAAATCAAGTGATTGGGATAGATCGGTCGCCATGCCGAGACAGTATAAATCACTTAGATCGAAATATAAATTAACAATAGAACTATATACGTTCATAGCATAGCCGATCAGATAGATCTAGCATGTATAGGCTAATACTCCGATATTACTTTATATTAAGATGTTAAAGCAAGTAGAATATATCAAACAGAAGCATAATATA